AGTTCCTTGAATGGCCACTTGAATCTGGCTCTGAAAGTGAGTCACTCCTTATAGACCTCTGTAATTAAATGTCCATCTTTACAGAGGAAATAAACATGTTTAAAACTTGGCACAAATAATAGTTTTGGTCTCTATAGCTAATTTCCACATTCGTCACAACTGCACAGGGAGTGCGTTCTTATATAACTAACCAATTGAAATTGTATTAAGGATTACAGATATGCATTTTTACGGTGGGTGCCATCATAGGACAGTCCATGACCCACCTCAGCCGTAGTCAGGTGTTAGTAGGAGTCAGAAACTGACAGGATTGTGATGTCTAGAGTCTCAAAACGGCTGTTCAGGAAACCTGTAGGTGACGTCATGGAGAGTTCGTCCATCCATACAGTGAATGTCACAGCCTCCAGATGGTCTAAGGGCGTAAGACTGGAGGAGGAGTGTCAAGAATCAAGTTCTTCAGCATTTCAGTCATTTTTTTTTTATCGCCAGTTCAAGACGCTGCGAGGAAAGTCCAGGCCTAAACAACAAACCAGAAGTCTCTACGGAGAAATAAAATCACACTACTATCTAAATTACTCCAGAACAAAAGGTACAACTCTAACCCGTACTACCTATGAATACAACAGCAACAACAGGAGAAACGGGAAATCAAACTCAATAGAACACAAAGAGTAAAAGAGCAGCAATGTGTTGCTTAAATCTAGCAACACTCTTGAATTTATCCCAGCAACAACACAGGAGCATTCAAAGTCCAAACCAAATGGCCTATGAAACACTACTCTTGGTGAAAACAGGTGGCAAAAGATGCCCAAGATTCCTACAAGTGCAGGCCTCGGGGTTTAAATTCCCCCCTAGCTGGATGGTGATTGGCTGCAGGCTCCCTAATCCAGCCAATAGTGGGAGGGAGGAGGCAAGACTACAGCTGAAGCCTGTGGAGCAGCTGCAGGCTGTATGCAAATAATGTGACTCGCTGAATGTAGATTGATTTTAATGTCTCCATCACTATCAATAAGGCCGACCTGCTAATATTTTTGGATGAATTACTATTTTTTACTTCTGTGTTCTGTCCTGTCTAAAGGTTTAGCTGAGGTATTGTTTTAGTGTCAAATGGTGGCAGCACACTTAAACATGTGCTGCTTTATCGTCTATTTTCCTGTAAATGAGATTTTAAATTACAAAATAAACATCATGCTGTACGAACAGAGAACTTAAAACCAGTGATTGAGACCGTAAGGTACTGAGGGAAATGTTTACTGAGGTTGCAAATCAAGTGAGAAGTCGGGTCATTTTCTCGTTGACTTCTATAAAATCAGATTTAATTTTTCAGCCAGAGGAGTCGCCCCCTGATGGCTGTTAGAAAGAATGCAGGTTTAAATCACTTTTTACATCGACTTCACTTTTCAGAACTGGAGGTTACACCCATCTTCTATATACAGCAAACATTAGCATTTATTTGGAGCTCTATTTCTTTCCACAGTGTTCCTCAAATTAATTCAAATGTTGTCAATTAACCTATCAAACGCTTTCAAAGCCATGACATCATCATCTGGGCTTTCCCAAATAGTTTGAAGGCATCTTAGTGTCTGTAAATGTTTGACTTTGAAGAAAGTAATAAAAAAATTCTCTCTCTCATTATTCTGGTGTTTAGCAAAAAGAAGTCGTGTTGGTGATCCTGACTGACCTAAAACAGATAAAGTTTAGTCTGATTTAATGTCAGACAGTGAGAGAAAAAAAGGTTATGTGTCTTTTTATACAGTGCATGGAAACTTGTGGTTTCAGCTGTACGTTGTGTCTTCCTGCTGCTGGAATACAAACAGTGAAAGTGAAACAAAATGATATGAAATGGAAGCAAGTGTGGCAGAAGACAACTTCAGCGTCTGGTAATAAATAACATTTGTCATTTTATTTCTAGACTTGCAAGTTGTGTCCGTCTTATCGATCCCGTACTGCCATTTTGTTGATATTTATATTTTAATTATAGAAGCACTACAAGAAGACACCATGAGTTATTCCAACCTGACATGAGCATGTTTTTAATTTCTGAAAATGAATAAACTGGAGGCATGGGGGAAGCCATTCACAACTCCAGAACCAGGAAAGACTGAAAAACTGCATTTTTTAAATCTGACGTGTGGGCACACCTCCTTGCAAAGCAACTTCACTGGAACTACTTTCTACTGAAGAAACAGTCTCTAACTGGCGAACAAAATGGGCGATTTGACCTTTTAAAGTCAATCGATGCTTCGCAGAGAGCTGGAGGAAGGTGCTGGGGAGTGAGTGCGTCTAGAACGACTGAGACAGGGAGTGTCAGCGACATAATTCAATGAAACCCCAGCGATGGGAGACGCCCACTCGATAAACTACTGACACACAGGAATTGGCCCAACTTTAATTACACTGATTAGCCAACATGTGATCCAGAGCGTTGGTAAAAAGCAGTGGTGTGCAGCGTTGGTGTCGCAGTGCTGAAGACTGCGACCTTTACATACGGCACACATGAAAACACATTTATTTACTCTGTTTGTTTCACCCAGTGCAACAATTTTAACAAGGAAATATGTGGTAGCCAGTAAATTATAGACTTCCTCTGATTGTTTTGTTTTATTTTACTTTGCTTCAAACTTATACATAATCGTTAATGCATTAGTAAAAATAAATATACAGTATTATCTGACACTAAAACTGCCTAAACATTATATCTGTACAAATAGTTAAGACATTATACTAATGCTTTAGAGACCAGTCATTAAGATGGAAGTTCATGCACACTTATTCTGTCCCTATTCTAGTTTGTAAACCAGATTTTTGACAAGAGCTTACAAAAAAAAATCTTCTGTGTCAAAGCGAAAATTGATTTTCACAAAGTAAAACATCTTGTGAATCAGTACTTCTGGATTTAACTACACCATGAAGACAGAAGAACACTCCAAGCAGCTCTATAATTTTTTTTATTGAAAAGCACAAGTCAGGAGATGATACAAGATTATTTCATTGAATATTTGTTGGAGTAAAGTTAAAGTTTAGACACACAAGAAATATGGTCCGTGTGCAAATCTGCCTAGAGCAGGTCGTCCTCAAAAACTGAGTGACCGAGCAAGAAAGAGACGAGTGATGGAGGCCACCAAGACACCTACGACTCCTCTGAAGGAGTTACAAGCTTCTGCGGCCGAGATGAAAGAGACTGTTAATACAACAACTGTCGTCTGTTTTATAGGAAAGTGGCAAAGATAAAGACACTGTTAAGTAAAGCTCATATTAAATCTGGACTAGAGTTCACCAGAAGACATGTGGGAGACTCTGAAGTCACCTGGAAGAAGGTTCCTTGGTCTGTTGACACTAAAATTAAACTTTTTGTCCATCAGACTACATGCTATGTAAGAAACAATAGGTGTCACAGTAGCAGAGCGGCTGTTTCTATAACTAGACAAAGTGCCTCGGGTCAGGTTTTTACTTTCTTCTACATTCATGTGATTATATACCTTGAATTCGTCCCCTAAGCTGGACAATAACGTGTGACCTGTCAAATTTACTTTGGTTCACTTCAGACCTTTTCGACTATCCTAGGCACATCCATGCTGACCGAATTTTTCTGATATACAGCGCCTATGAAAATATTCTTTGGTCTAATAAGACTGAAATTAAGCTTTTTGACCATCAGACTAGATGCTACATTTGGCAGATATCAAACACTGCACATCATCACAAACACACCATCCCCACTGTGAAGCACGGTGGTGGCGGCATCATGATGTGAAGCACGGTGGTGGCAGCATCATGATGTGAAGCATGGTGGTGGCAGCATCATGATGAAGCATGGTGGTGGCAGCATCATCATGTGGTGATGCTTCACGGCAGCAGCCCTGGAAGGCTTGTAAAAGTAGAGGTTGAAATGAATGCAGCAAAGTTGAGAGAAATCCTGATGCAACCTGCAAGAGAACTGGGAGACGATTTGTTTTCCAGATAGACAATGAGTTGAAGTAAACAGCCAAAACTATACAGAAATGATTTGAAGACAACAAGTTGAATATTCTGGAGTCAGAGCCCAGACGTTCAATCCTAATGAGATAATGTGGTTGGACATGAACCAATCAATCATGATTTTCGTGTAATTTGAAGGAGGTTAAAGGTTAAATTTGCAATTTCTAAATGCTTTTATAAATTCTATTATAAACATATAAATATTGACCAGGATATAGAGTTGTAAAGCAACATTTCTCTGACAACATGTGTCTCCTCCTTGTTTACTAGAGTGAATGCAAGGTCAGAGGTTTGATCCTTTAAGTCGCACACACATGAACTCACAAGTGAAGCCTGCAGGAGGCCTTTTGCACTTAATTGCACTTTTCTTTGTTGGATATCAAAGCAAAATAAAGTATTAAAAAAATAAAATAAAATCCTGCTTCGACACCGGTCTGTGCAAACTTGCAGGATTTGACGGTATAATTATGAGTGTTGCAGATAAACAGGAGGATGCATCATCGCTCCGGCCTGCAGCGGCTTTAACACAGGTGTGGACCGAGTTAGACGGTGATCTGTGCTTGTGGCCAGACGAGACGAGACCTTTAAGTACAGACCTTTGGGATTGCGCGGTCACGTGACTCGCTATCTCCAACCTGCCTTCTCCCGGCCGGCGGCGCGCTCCCACCATTGAGAAAATAAAAAAAAAAAAAAAAAAAAAAGGGAAGGTAAACATTTTTGCGCAGCGGGCTCCGTCCTCCTCCTCCTGCACCCGCTTTACGCGCACGGACACCCCGCAGATCCGGACAGACCCGCGGCGGAAAAAACCCCGGCGACAGGCGCGGAGAGCCGCCGGGCAGCAGTGACAGGCGGCGGGCGGCTCTGCTGGGCCTGATCTCCGGCAGGAACACGGATCTCCAGCCGCCGGACTCAGCTGCGACACTGTGTTGTGTACATTTGTGTTGTTCTTTTTTTTTTGGTGCGACATTATTTCCGGATTGCAAGCGATTCGTGGCGATAATAGAGCAACGTGGCGGTGGGATTTAGCGAAGATTACAGTCAGTAAAGTGCTGCACAAGACTGCCTCCTAATCCCTGTGTGAAAGGGATGGGCAGTGCACCGGCTGGAGCTGAGTTTCTGCAGAAAGCTGGGTGGGGAACGGAGGGATCTCTTCCTCTTCACTCCACACATGCACATTATGGTCAGAGGGAGGAGGCTGACACTGTGCTGGATGTCCAACACACTGTCACACTCTTATCACCAGCTTGTGTCCATGAATGAGGTAGTTGGATTCCTCCTCCCTCCTCCACTGCTCTGCTGTCTCATGTGTTTTGTATGTTCTGTTTGTTTGGGTTTTTTTCTGCAGGATGGCAGAGGCTCCCAGGTCATGTGACTGTTTCGTGTCCTTGCCCCCCGGGTCCCACCACGACCATGTGATTTTTGGGAAGAACTCGGACCGACCCCGGGACGAGGTGCAGGAGGTGGCCCACTACCCGGCCGAGTCTCACCCTCCAGGCTCCATGCTGGAGGTAAAGCAGTCGCTTCAGGCTCTGCAGAAAGTCAAAACCCAAATAGTCCTGCAGTTTGTGTACAAACATTCTTTCTTATTAATGGTTCATCTGAAGTAGCTCCTGTTTGGCCTCTTAGCTTAAATTTGTCACAGAGCTTCACATAAATGTCGTTAAATGTTGCACAGAGAGGCCGTAACCTCTTCCACAAGTTCACAGAAGGCCTTAAAAACTCCTAACTCGCAGTACATTTAGTCTGTAAGACGCTGCTAGAAAGGACAGTTACTTATGGCTAACATGACATGTGACATGTTGAAGCATCTGCAGCTCTTTTGAATGCATTTAAATGAATGCTGTTGTCATAAACATGGGCTCTGGTGCCCTGCAGAAAATACAAAATCTAAAAGTCTCTATGTGAGGCTGCAGTTGGACTCTGTGTCGACACATTCTTTCCTGTTAATCGTTAACCAGAAGTCACTGCAACTTCTGGTTTTCTTCTCAGTTGGGTAAATGTGTCGCTGAGCTTCATATTAACGCAGTTTGACGTCCAGATTTCATGTAAATGTTTGTTTGTGAGACAGAATCTGTGCACAGAAAGGCCTCAACCTCTTCCACTCCACCACAAGTTTGCAAAAATGCCTCAAAACATTCCTAATTTGACAGTAAATTGAAGTTATAACTAAATAAGATATCTGGTGAGGTGTCTGCATCTCAAACTGTGTTAAAAATACAAATAAATTGAGGTTATTTTCATAAACACAGGCTCTGGTGCCCTGCAGAAAATGAGAATTTAAATATTCCTGTCTGAGGCTGCAGTGAGATGCTGTTAACAATTAACCAGAAGCTCCTGTTTTTCTTCTCATTTGTGCAAAATGTGTCGCTGAGCTTCACGTTAATGCAGCTTGACGTCCAGATTTCACATAAATGTTTGTTTGTGAGACAGAATCTGTGCACAGAAAGGCCTCAACCTCTTCCACTCCATCACAAGTGTGCAAAATGCCTCGAAACACTCCTAATTTGACAGTAAATTTAATCTATAACTAAATAAGACGCTGCCAGAGAGGACAGTTTCCTATTAAAGCATGTTTTTTCTGTGACAGTAACCACCTGTGGCTTTATCTGCACGTGCAAAAGACTCACTGGCTTTGCAAACAAAATACTAACTGCTTCAGATTTGATGGAGATATCCTGATATGTGACAAATCTGTCTTTTTTCATGATGTAATGTGTATGAAAATTGGAGGTTACGCCCAAAAAACATGGTTTGATCGTAGTTTCTCATCGTGCTAATATCCTAAAATTTGCTTCTTGGCACTCGCATCATAATATACTGTTTTTTAAAGGGTACATTTTGGTATCAGCAGCTCAAACTGTGTTTAAAATACAAATAAATGGAGGTTATTTTCCTAAACACAGGCTGTGGTGCCCTGCAGAAAATGAGAATTTAAATATTCCTGTATGAGGCAGCAGCAGTTAGATGCTGTTTTTCTTCTCGATTGTGTAAAAATGCGTCGCTGAGCTTCACATTAACGCAGTTTGACGTCCAGATTTCACGTAAATGTTTGTTTGTGAGACAGAATCTGTATTTTCCATCCTGCACAGAAAGGCCTCAACCTCTTCCACATGCTTAAAAACTCCTCATGTGACACTAAATTTAATATATGACAATGTAAGATCTTGCCAGAGAGGAAAGTTTTTTATTCATAGCGTAATATATCAGTTCATATTACCCTCCTGTTGGGTTGTCTGTACATGCAAGAGACACTGCTGGGTTAAAATGAAGCACCAGTTTGGTGGAGATATCGTGATATTTGACAAATCTACAGTGTTTATGTAATATTGTGCATGAAAATTGAAGATTATGACCATAAAACATGGTAGTTTCTACTTGTGCTAACATCCCAAAGTGAGATCTATCATTTGCTTTTTCACACTCAGTCATAATATTCAGTTTTTGAGGTGGTTCATTTAGGCGTCTGTGTTGCAAACTAGGTTTAAAATACACGCAGTTAGCATTTTTTTTTCTTGTTAATGAGGTTTGTCATCCAGGTTTCATATTAATGTTGTTTTTTTTGCATCAGAATCTGACATCAAACTGCGTTTTCCATCCTGCACAGGGAGACCTTAAACTCTTCCACTGCACCAGAAGTTTGCAGGATGTGTAAAAATAATCAATTTGACAATAAATTAAATAAATTACTAAATGAGATGTTGCCAAAAAAGATAGTTTCAGTTTCAGTTCTGATTAACCACCTGCAGCTTTATCTGTATACGCAGGAGAAACACGGCAGTAGCTGTAAACAAAACGCCGATAACGGCTGCTTCAGATTTATAACAATTCTGCAGTGTTTTGTTTTTGTTTTTTTCCCATGAGATGGTGTGCATGAAAACTGGAAATTATGACCTCATGTTTGTGGAGAGATATCAAGACCAAACATGGCTTCACAGTAGTTGTTGCTCGTGTAAAATCCTGTATTTGCTTTTTGACACTCAGTCATTATATCCAGTTTTTGACATGATAAATTTAGGCATCTGCCGCACAAACTGTGTTTAAAATACGTTTAAATGGATGATGCTTCCTTAAACACAGAGTCTACCGTCTTCTGGTAATTCCACGTGTGGCTAAGTTTATCAAAGCGATGAAGGCAGACGAGGAAGACACAAACTTGTAGCAGAGTTTAAGAGGTTAAGAGGAGGTAACGAGTTGAGCTAATGTGTACAGATCCTTAAACAATGTCTGATTCAAATCCTCATTCAGGACATTTGTGCATTTTTTGCAGACGTGCTAAATGTTTTTAAAATGATAATTGTTGGCTTTCTTGCAGAGTTTAGTATTTAGATTGATGCCCCTCTCATATCTGTCTGTTAAATATGAGGCTACAACCAGGAGACAGTTAGCTTAGCATAGCCTAGCCTAGCCTAGCCTAGCCTAGCCTGTTCCTGTCATATTTTATGTTTATTTAATCTAGACTAAAGCGGAAAGAGTTGTTGAGGTTACATGCAGAATTATTTATTGTTGCACTGTCTGACTGTCATACAGCAGACTTCAAACTTTTACCCTCTGAGCAGTTTCTGGATGTTTTCTGCTCATTTTCGCTCACTGTTGGTTCATTTTTCACTGCGATATGAAGTCCTGCACCTCTGTGGAAACAGAATTTGTTCTATGGCACTTATCTAGATTGTTTTCTCCTGACTAGATCCTTGCTTGTGTTGTATCTGCTCTCAGATTTACGTTGCTTTTGATAAAAGCGTCTGCTACATGAAATTATAGAATTATAGAACAACCAGGACTAGAAGGAGAGAGAACTCAGAGATGTCTTTTGTACAGGAGAAACTATAAAAAACAGAAAGAACTGTGGGAGTTTCATTAATACAACCAGGTCTAAGCTTGAAATCAGAATATTTCATCAAAATCACTTCATTCTACGTGTCTTATTTAAAAATGTGCCAAAAATACCTCATTTGATCAGATCAGTATCTGTTGACATGTGAAGGAAAGACAGCTAGAAGTCAACCGAAAACAAAACATGGAGAATATTTTGAAGTTTAAGAGGTGTAAGTTTAATGAAATCAACAAAATAAAATGCAAATTGCATGTAGAAATCTCATTTATGTTGGGGTTTAGAAAGAAGAACATGAAAAACAGGTGGCTAGTTTATTATTCCTCTTCATAATTCTTTCAAAAAACAACTAAGAATTGAGAAAGAAAACAAAATCACCTTTTGAACAAGTCAAAGTTTTTTCCTTTTAATCGATCATCCACTACAGTATATGGAGATGCTGCTATCCAGTTATTTATTTACCGATATTTCATTCAAGCAACAACAAAAAAACTTCTTCTTGGCACAACTTAGAAGCCATCAGCTATTAGTCACATGAGACAAACTGTGATTCTTTTCAGCTGAACTGCAGGCAGTGTTTATGCAGAGACAAGATAAGTACGGAAACAAATCAGAAACCCAAGTAGTAGAATATCTATGGGATGGAGAGCCTCAGTTTTGTCAGTTTTGGTAACAATTGTGGGCAAAATGTTGTTTTCAGTTGTGTAAAATAATTAATCAAAGAAATTCAACTTTTGTTTTCTCTTGTTATATAACTTATAACGTTCTAACTGAGTCATCCTGCACAGGAGACGTCTCTGAGTCCTCTCTCCTTCTATTCATGGCTGTTCTGTTTCCGTAGAGCTTTATGTTGCAGTGGAACATGAGTGAAAATGTGACCGGAGCTGCTTGGAGTTTAGAGGTTTAATGTGCGCTGAGTATCTTCAGCATCACTTCCTCCTTCAGTTTGTCTGTTTATTTGTTTGTTTTATCGTGTTTAAAGTCACACATTGACACAGACTTGAGCCAGTATTCTCCACCACCTCTGATGAATCTGTGATGAGGTGCTCATGCTGTGGTCAGTGCACTTTAACTCCAGTGTGACCTGTGGGTGTGTGCAGTGCACCTACATCCAGATCCCTCAGGTGGAGCAGACCCACGCTGTCGTCCTCAGCAAACCTGCCTGGATGTGGGGGGCCGAGATGGGCGCCAACGACCAGGGAGTCTGCATCGGGAACGAGGCCGTCTGGACCCGAGAGCCGGTGGCTCCTGGAGAGGCTCTGCTGGGGATGGACCTGGTCAGGTGAGCCCATATCACTCATCAGAAAAAAAAAAAGGGCTCAGCAGTGAAGGGACATGAGTGCGGCTGCTGATTAAACACAGTTTGCAGTGGAAGTATTAACTTAATCCTCTTTGATCGGGAGGGTGTGTAGATCGTGACGAGCGTGTTGTGACAGGCAGCTCGTATCTGAAAACACTGACGCAGCCAAGTGGCTCTGAGCGGCATTTCCTCTGAGCGGCAGCCGATCAGGCATCAGATAACGGCCGGGTTTTGTCCGTCAGACTGGGGCTGGAGCGTGGAGACAGTGCCTGGGCGGCGCTGCAGGTCATCACCGGCCTCCTGGAGCAGCACGGTCAGGGCGGGCAGTGCAGGGAGACCCCCGAGCCCTTCAGCTACCACAACACCTTCCTGCTGGTGGACCGAGCCGAGGCCTGGGTGCTGGAAACCGCCGGGAGGCTGTGGGTGGCGCAGAAAGTCTCAGGTGAGGCAGGTTCGGAGGTGCATGGGGAGGTTTGTGGTTGTTGACGGAGAAGCTGACAGACTGGAGGGAATGAAATAAATTGCAGAAAAATATGTAACTTAATGTCAACGGATGGTTAGTTAGCGAGCAGGGAATGCAACGGTATTCATAAGTTCTGCTAATGATTTACAGGAAGCATGCTTTAACCCTGTGAAGTACATGTGAACCGGTGGCCGACTTGCTGCGTGGCAACGGTGCGAACCACCGATCCACCTTGCAGCCCCTTTATCGGTATTTATTTTACAAAAAATTAGAAAAAACCTGCAACGTTTTCATAATTTCTCACACTTATGTTGCTAATACTGCATTAAAAAACAGCAACGCTACATGTTATACATATTTCATGACTTACATTTTTAATTGGCTTCCATTCAGGTCATTCCGAGTCAACCCAGCGAAGGTGGCTGCTTGGCCGTCTCATGATTGGTTGAAACTTTGCAGGAATGATCTTTGACATCTGAAACTGACATCTGCCCATTTTTTAGCTGAAGAGTTTTTACCCAGTGGAACAGATACGTCTGAAAGTGGCATCTTGTTCAATTTCCAGCTTGCAAGAGGTTTATTGAACATTTCCATTGGGTGAAAAATTCTGAAAATGTTGGAATTTCAGCAAAAAAATAGGCAGATGTCAAGTTTAGATGAACATTCCTAGAAAGTTTTAGAGGTGGTCAAACAGCTGACCTTCCCTAATCTCGCTGGAATGACCCACACTTGTCTCCGCTCTGTAAAAACACAGCCTGCAGTTCAACCCAAAAGTCACTGAATGTTTGTCACGTGAATGTCGGTCACAGCTCAGTCACTCATGACTTCTTGGTTGCACCTTAGAACGCAGAATTTTAGTGTTTTTTTTCCAGAATCTGGTTCATGTAAACAGCTTGTTTTTGGCATTTAAAAAAAATAAAACATGTAGAAATAAAACAGTTTTCAGCTCAGATTTGGTTCATTTGTCTGACAAAACTAAAAGTCGAAGCAAATAGTTGAAAATCTGATGACTTTTCTGCTTTTGCAGCTTCTTTTGCTGATAAATTTTTCCTTTCGAACCCACTGGCAGGTTTTGGGTTTCAGACGGTTAAATCTAATATTCAGATCTTTATCAGATAACGTTTGTGATCAACCGTAGAGCAAATGGAATGAAGGTCAGTCGTGATTTAGCAGGAAATGGTGCTGAAGTGTGGAAACGTCTCCCCTAAACCGCTTCACACAACCTGACACTGTTTGCTGAAGCGATTTCTTGCAGCTCAGACTCGTGTTGTTAAGTCAGATCTGGTAAGATTTCTGTTGCTCATTCAGACGTGAAGGTTCAGATGCGGTCAGATTAACAGGAAGGGTTCCATGTCTGGGAGACTGTTGAGAGGAAAAGGTCTGCAGGTTTCATCCTCTGAGGACCATGAACGCCTCCTCACACCTCTGTCTGCGTCGTCCTTAAAGCTGCCAGTAAACCAAACTGAAGCTCTGCTGCCTAATCTGCCTAAACCACACATGAGGTTTGACAATCCATATGAAATATTTAAATACTTACTGCCTCTCTAATGTGGAAACTAAATTACACGTTGCATAAAACCCATTTAGATCTCAGTTCGTTTTCACCGTGAGACCACAGCTTATACAGACGGTTTGTATAATTCAGTGTTTTTTCAGATAAACCTCACAAGCTGCAAAACATGTTTCACACTAACGGCACAGTTTCCAGCTGAAGGTTCCTAACAGCGGTTTCCTGCTCTCAGATCCGGTGAAGAACATCTCCAACCAGCTGACCATCGGCACCGAGATCTCGGCCGAACACCCGGAGCTGCGCAGCGTCGCCCAGGCCAACGGATGGTGGGACGGCGAAGGACAGTTTGACTTCTCTCAGGTGTTCAGTCCTGAAAACCCTCCGGCCCGCATGGAGCTGGCCAAGCAGCGCTACAAGGGAGGAACCGAGCTGCTGCGGCAGCACGACGGTGCGTTCTGGAGGTTTTCCTTAAACTCTCTACTGCACACGTTGTTTCAGCATCATGGGAAAAACATCAGCAACTTTTATGACTCATAAGAATCCTAAATGAGCTTTTTTTTCAGATTCAAGAGAGTGCATTTAAATGCAAACTGACTGTTCTGAAGGCTGTGCAATAACAATATGATATGATTAAAAGAACAATTCAGAACAGCAATAGAAAATATGAAAAAAAAGTGTTCTTTGATTTACAAAGAATATTTTTTGAAGGCAGGTTGTTGATATTTGACAACATTGTGAGACCTCAGAAACGGTGTAGTCACAGTTCTAAACAAAATCAAGAGGTTTTCAACCCTCCAAGCATTTCTTGTGAGTTTATTTTTATTTTTTATTTTACACAGATCTTTAAGAACAGACCTCTGATTCAAACCCTGGTTCAGGCCATTTATGCAAATTCTGCAGCTGTGTAGACGTGTTTTTGAAAATATGCTTATTGGCTTTATTGCAGAGAGTTGAACACGAAGATTGATGCCGCTCTCAGATCTCTCAAAGCTTAGCTTAGCTTAGCTTAGTCTGTAAACAGTGTCTCCTCTGGGTGGCGTTTCAGGCTCGGTGACAGCGGAGGTGATGATGTCCATCCTGAGGGATAAAGCCAGCGGCATCTGCATGGACTCCGGAGGTTTCTGCACCACCGGCAGCATGGTGTCGGTGCTGCCCGCCGACACCAGCCTGCCCTGCATCCACTTCTTCACTGCCACCCCGGACCCCTCCAGGTCAGTCGGTTAACGCCGTAGTCACCTGTTTATACCGTGTTACACTCACAGACGGGTTCAGAAGAGCCTCGCAAAATCACTTTTTTCAGTTTTATGGGAAAGAAATTCAAAGTGCTGGTTAACCTCTGGACTAATAGCGCTCTGCTGGCCTTTATCTGCTCCTGTTTCATTTTTACTCACATTTTTCACTGCAGTATAAAATCCTGCACCTCTATGGAAACAGAACAACCATGACTAGAAGGAGAGAGAACTGAAAAATGTCATTTCTGCAGCGTGAGACAGTTATAAGTTGTAGAAATAAGACAAATTACATATAAAACTTTTTTTTAAATGCCCACAGGTGTTACCAGTACTGGGGAAAAACTGTCATAATGTGCTGTGACTCCACACACAGTCAACATTTACTACTTTTACTACATTTTTAATTTCCTTCGAGCTTGTCTCCTCTGTGGAAACACAACCTGCAGCTCAATCAAAATTTCGTCTTGTGGCTGTCGGTCCGGCTGAGTCGGTCCTGTGCCGAGGAATGCAGAATTCAGTTTTTTACAGGATGTTGTTTTAGCAAACTGTTGAGTTTTTCTGCATTTTTTAAGGGATTTTGATTGAATATCACAAGTTTAAGCTTAGATTTGGTTACGTTTCCTGAGACGAGTAGTTCAAAGACTGTCAGATTCTTTGTTTTTTCAGATTGTGGCTGATAAATGGTGTCATTTTGTGTTTTTTGTTGTTTTGTGGTTTTTTTAAACATGGCATGCCTTTCAAACCAGCCCCAGGTTTGGAGCTTCAGAGGGTTAAACGTAGCATCTCACTCATGTGGCAAATCAATAATTTAACTCAACTAACTGATCAAATTTTAAAAATAACAGCTCAGACATTTTTATTATGCATCTGTGTGAGAATGCTGCGATTAATACATGATGATGCAGCTGTTTTCCATTTATTTCCTGGAAAACAAAGAATTACTTTCATGTGTTACAAACATTACAAAATGCATGTAAATCCCATTTATTTGTATTTTTTGGCCAATTCTAACTTCAGGACCTTGGTGGTGGATGGATGTAGGATATTATTGCAAAAGTCTTACATGCTGGATGCATCTCTGGTGATTTGGTGGCTTCTTTCTGGGAAAAATCTCTTTGTAGCATCAGAAGCAGAAGCAGTTAGCATTAGCAGCAATAGCTACGTTGATTAGAGTCACAAAAAATACCAATAAAAATTGCTTAAAGGTGGAAAACGAACAGAATATTACAAGTTTAGTAGCGACAGGTTAAAGGTTAACATTCTTTCTCTTCACATCTTTACTTTTCTCGCATTCTGTCTCCTCTTTGGGATTTTCTGAGTCTGCGTTTCTTTTCTCTTTCTCCGTTTTTTCCTCCATCCCGCCCCGCTAGGTCTATATTCAAGCCTTTTATCTTCTCGGACTGTTCCACCCCAGTGCTGAGGGTGGTCTCCCCGCAGTTCGGCCCGGACGACCCGGTCAGGAAGCAGCCTCGCTTCCAGAGCCAGGTGGACCGCAGACACGACCTGTACAAGGCCCACCAGGTGGCGCTCAGCAACATGGACTCCAACCCGGTGGGTGGTCGACGGAACCAGGCAGGGCTGGAGGGTTTTATTCTGCAGAGCTGATCCGGTTGCTGATAAATTACAGTTGGCGGAGCACCGACACTCCCAGCGAAGAGCAAAAACACAACAGAAGCTCTCAGCGTCAGCGCAGACTAAACAAAAACACTGTACAAGTGCACGCTGAAAGCCAAAGAGCAGGGTTTCAATCTGAGCAACCAGAGCTCTGCAACAACACTCGTTTCCATTTAGGCCCTTTGAGCTGATGTCCCGTCTGAGATCATGTGTGGGTTTAAGGTCAGCTGGAAGTCACAGGAAGGAGGGTGTCCTGTTTAGACTGAAACCTGCCTCAGAATGTACAGACAAGATGTTTTTGTGCATCAGATGACAGCTGACCCCATCTCACATCAGTTATAGCTCGACCTTGTCTGATTGGCCAGAGGTTTTTATAGCACAAAGTGTAGAAAGTTATAAGGATGCTTCTGAAATTTCACTTTGATATATCAAATACTTTATGAGATTTCTTGTTTTATTTTAGCAGGGATTTTTTGCACATTGAAATATTGTTTACTGTTTGAACAACAGTATCTGATGATGCATCTTGTGCATCAGTGTGATCGGTGGACCATGAAATCGGGCGCTGACAGACGCTCCGTGTTGCCTGGATGCAAACTGTGATTAAATGTGTTCATTTTTTAAACGCTTTAACGCGTTATTTTTGTTGTGATTAAATAATCGTAATTAAAACTTTAAAGGATATTAGGGGTGGGACTTTAACGCGTTATTTTCACGTTAACGCGTTAAGTCCCACCTCTATAAAAAATACATGACAGCTCTACAGGATCTAGAAATGTCACTACTTATATTTTCTATTAGTTTCTGTACTCGTCTCCTCTCTGCTCTGTGAATACACCGCCTGCAGTTCAGCCTACAAGTCTCAGATTTTTTGGTTGAGAAGCACAAAATTCCTTCATTTTTTTTATACAGATTTCGAGTAAACAGTTTACTTTTGTTAAATTTTTTTTTAAAGCTGAGACATGATAAAATGTGGTGATTTTAAAGTTCTATTTGATTAGGATCCCGAACAAACAGCACGTCACACATCAGTAGTATAGTGACTCCAAAATCTGACAATTCTCTCAGTTTGTGGCTGATAAACGCTGTCAGTTTGGCAATTTTTTGATAGCATTTCTTTCAAACGGCTGACAGGTTTTTGACATTGTATCACCATAAAGTCAGATATCTCTGCTGCTCCAGAAAGCTCAAACAAACCGAGTCGTGTCAGGCGTTGCTGTTTCTCTAACGTCTCCGTGTTTCCCCCTCAGGATGAAGGTTTAGCCGTCTACAACATCCTGAGGGATCTGGAGTCGCAGTGTCTGAGCGAGATCTCCGCCATGCTCCGAGGAGAGATACCCGGAGACGAGCTGGGCGACTTGTTTTTCGACTGCGTGGACACAGAGATCAAGTTCTACCAGTGAGGAGGTGGGAGGCTTCGGCAGACGTCTGGTGTTGCATCATGAATGAATCCAGGTTTTCTTTTTTGTGCAGGGAAAATTTTAAGAGCAATTTATAATCCCCAATAGATAATTACAGTCTCATAGCAATAAATCTGCTCCATTTGCACTGATGGTTATAATATATATAAGCTCTTCCACTTCACAATTTCCCTTGAATACACCTAATTTGATAATAAATTAAAATCGCTGGAAGTCCTGTAGTATATTAAAATAATGAGATCTTGCCAAAAAGGAACATTTCATATGCAAAACATAATATTTAAGTTTGTGTTTCTGTTTTCTTTTATGTATCAAACTTTTATGCTTCAACTGTGATGGCAAGAACAGAATTCCAAGCAGCTTTTAGGCTTTTTTCTCTTGTTTCGTTCACATTTTTTAATCACTGTGGGCTCATTTTTCACTGCAGTATAAAGTCCTGCACGTCTATGGACACAGAACGGCCGTGACTGGACAGAAACAGAACTCAGAAGTGTCAGTGAAGTTATAATGCCATAAATCATAGGAAAGGAGAAGTGAAATTTGATTTTTTTTTTTTTTTTGGGAGTATTTATTTTTACAAACAACGAAAAACATGGACTGAACATGTACAACATTTATCCAAGTCCAGTACTTGAAAACATGGTTACTACACAAACTGTAGGTATTTCATTATTCGCATTTTTCTGTATGTGTCTCGGCTCTGCTCAGAGTAAACACTGCCTGCAGTTCAGCGAAAAAAGTCTGAATTTTCCTCATGTGACTGTTGGTTGCAGCTGAGTTACAGTTGACTTCTTGATTGTGCCAAGGAGCGCTGAATGTTCTGTTTTTTACAGAATCTGGGTATCACAGATGACAAATTCTTACAGATTAAGACAGACATTTAGATTAAAGTAATTTTCATAATATGCCACAGTTTGAAGCTCAGGTTTGTTAGGTTTCTGTCTGTTTTTACAGTTTCTGGGTCTGATAAATGGTGTAATTCTGGTGATTTTATTTCACAGCTAATTACTTCTTGGTTGAAATGTGAAGTGCAGAAAGTTTTATTTTTCTTAAGGAATTTGGTTATTTTTGACCAATTTTAAAAAAATAAATCATGTAGAATGAAGTGATTTAGATGAAATATCAGGATTTTAAGCTTAGATTTGCTGAATTTCCCCAACAAAACCGAAAGCCGAACATGATTAGGACTGTTGGAAAGTTGTCCACAATTCTCTCTGTTGGTTTTTCACAAATAACATCCTTTTCAAACCTACCTGCAGGTTTTAGTTTTCGGAGAGCCAAATTGACTTAAACTGTCCCCACCATGAATTGTGCATCAGTGGAAGCTGATTGTACACATAAGCCATGATGATAATTTGTCAAAACTGTAGTTTACATGCTGCATTTATGCTTTGACAGCGTCTCCGAACGGTAAAGCTCATAAAACGCTCTCATTAGAGTCTCTCTACCGTTAGAAATAAAGATCAAAAAGTCAAATCAATTAGGAGAGCTTGAGGGCTATGATTCCTCCTGTATGTGCTGCTGCAGAGTTTAGTAAGCCTCTAACCTGTGCTGTCCTCGGTTGCAGCGCCCTCCAGTGGACACCCCCAGCGCTCACAGGGAAGCAGCAGAAGGCCCCGGGACTGTTAAACTCTTCCTCGTCTGACCGGCCTCCACCTCACATCTCTGACCCCCCGTTTCCATCCCTAACACAGACTAAATGTCTCAGTGCACATGTGATCGGAGCATATTTAACCATCTGTATCACCCAGGGAGCAGCGACCTCGTTAGTGAGTTTAATGACGTAGACTACACAGGCGCCACGTAGAGCTGTGTGACGTTTGCACAAATGCTATGAGTTCTGGCGATTTGTTTAACATTTTGTTTGTTTGTTGTCGCAAAGGAATGGGTTGTCATTTTGTCTGATGGCTACCTGTAGGAGAGTTCTAATAAAGAATGTGCATAGCCCGTCCCCAGTGTGATTCCTGCTCTTTTGGTTGCACATTCACAGCAGTGGAAAATACTTGAGTATTTCCATTTCATTCTACTTTATAATTCTGCTCCACTGCATTTCAGAGGGAAACGTTTCTGTACTTTCATGCTCCGCTACGTTTATCTGATCGATGTCACACAAATGCAACACATTTTTAAGATACCCCTTTATTAACCCCACACTGGGGAAATTAGCAAAGATTAAACCAGTGATTTTTAACTTTTTTGTGCTTTTTAGAGATGTTCAAAGCTCCAACAAACGGTTATTTTCTTCTTTGACCTTCTCACATGGTTTCAATAAAACGATCTGAAATCTAAGCAAAAATCAAAGAGTTGAGAAAAACTGTTATCAGATTTCTTCTTTCCTTTCAAAAATAATCATGTTTGGATGCCTTAGGTTTGTCTTCTGTTTCTGAATATAAAACTGGATATACAGTAGTTCAAACCTGCAGCAGCCGATGCTTAACTGTTAATAATGGCAGCACATACAATCATATATCAGTTAGAGGGACCAAACCAGGACTTTTACTGCATTTTCAAGATGTTAATGGTGGTGAAACTTCCTGGGGAAGGATGTCAAGACTGCATTATAAACATCTGATAGGTGAAGTGATGACCCCTAACCTCTATAGCTACTGAGATTTCTCCCCAGAAAGTTTCAACAACATCATCATTGAGTCACTCCTCACATGGCAGGTCATTATGGGCCATTAGCCAAGTTAGTTCCAAGGTCAATAGAAGTTAAAAAAAAATAACAACAAAAAAACAAAACAGGAGGCTTTTGTTCTAATAAATAGATAAATAATTTAACATCTGTCCCATCCTGGTGTTCATCGCCATCATCCCTTTGTCTTGTTTAGAGAAGAAAATGCTTCATTTTAAGGGCCATACTGTGTTATTGTGCAGCTACACTGTGTGACAAAAGCGTGGCAACAATAATAATAATAACAATTTTATTTATGTGGCACTTTTCAAAACAACAGATAATGCAGAAGGTAACAACAGTTAGGATGATGTTAAATCATGCAGACCACAGATGTTAAAATGCAAAATATAGTATCTCAGTATTAACAGCTACAGGTAAAAATAAAAAAAATAAAAAAAATCAAAGCAATAAAACATCAATAGTCAAGTTTTCTGCTTTTTAAATTGTACATTATAAAGAAGAGCTGTTGAGCAAAAAAAGGCTATGCAATAGAAAAACTAGATTGGAATAATGAATTTACCGAACAAGTTTACCACTAAATGTAACATTAAAAATGACATGTAAAGTAAATTAGTTCATTGTGCTTATATTGAATATTGAAATAGCTGTAAAGTGGAATTTACATTTGGAATAATCTAAAATATTAAATATCCAACTGAAAGAGAGTAAAAAACACTGTAGGGAATTTGTCAACAACAACAATAATCCTTGAACCACTTTAGGATTAATTTTTACGATGTTTTTTACGACTGTTCTCCAGATTAAACCCAGTTGAAGCCAAACTCTGTCCCTTCATGTGGTTCATACATGTGGACTTCAATTTCCGCTTCCTGCTGTTCAGCCTCCATCCGGAAGGAGGCGGCAGCTTCAACCTCCGCCGTCTGACGGGGGTTGGTGGTGGCGAAGAGGGCAGCAGAAAACCGAACAGCCCGGGCTTCGGGCACAACTTGCCTTCAAATGTAAGCTAACTGGGTTACAGTTTGTATTTGGGAGGGCGATTAGAAACTGTCAGATATAGTTTGACCATCTCCCCTGGTTTCCGGTAACCTCAACCCCCCCTCTAGAAAGAAAGTGGAGTCGTCCAACGGTAAAGGTAAATTAACGCGAGTGCAGCGCTATGTTGCTAACTTTAGCTTTCACTTCAGCCTCGGCGTCACCATGCGCAGAAGAGTTGCACAAATCCATCCCTAGCTGCTGGAAGTAATTGCTTGTCGAAGATATTTGCTGTGAGTTTGCTAACTTTTCTTCTGGCTAAAGCCAATTAGCTTGATATTCTCTGCTAGCTGGCCTGCTAGCATGCAGCTAGTCGAGCTAGCCAGCTAAGCTAAGTCAAAGGGCACTGAATCAATCCCCGATTCCGTTAAATTCAGTTTAAACGCTTCACAGCAGGAGGTTTTACTGCACAAATAGTCTGTGGTTGGAGGTAACTGGTGTAGTTTTAACCTGTGCACATCTGCAGATCAAGCCAGAGCACGGTGGTTTGAGTTCTGCAGATTTAGAGAAATCATTTAATGTTTATGTATGTCAGAAAATGTGGGGAGAATTCTTTTGGTTTTCATTTAGTCTAATAAGATATAAACTGTCCATTTGTACCATTTTGTTAAATGATGGAAAGAGTGAATGCAGTTGTTCAGTGTTTCAATTCTGTATTTTTATGCTCTTCACTAGGGGTACACAGACAGGATTGAACAAGGGCTGAAGCAGATAATGTAAATAATATTTTATTATTTATGTACATTTACAGTTAAAAATCCAAAATCTTAATGTCAAATTTAGAATGACACAAAGTACAACATTGAACTCAGCTGAAGTGCCGAGTGAGCGATCCTCAGTTTGTTTTCCTCCACATTTTAACCATGCGAACCTGTTAAATAAATCCAACACTTTTAAATGTGTGACACCTTTATTCTATTTGTCTAATTAGAAACCAGGAATATGTCACTTCCCCCCCACATCTGAACCACATTAGACCAGGTCCAGCTCTAAAACAACTAAATATTGAGAATATGAAAATGCCAAACATGAAGGTTTCACTGCTTTTTAAAAAACTTTTATCTCATTACATCTGGACCACATTAGACCAGGTCAAGATCTAAGTCAACTACACATAGACTGGTCATGTGCTGACTAGATTGTCCCAGCGATGCTAAAGAGTCTATAAAACATAGTCCCTGACTCGTGAAACCTTTACTGCCGTTGTGAAAATGCAAAGCGAAAAAAAAATGCAACCCATACGACCTGAAGGATCCACTGCCAGCCACCACAGGACAAACCCAGAGGTCCTGTCTTCGTGGCCCGATGGGTTGGGGTGGTTTTGGTGGTAAGAAGGGGATGTAGACAGTATTAAGCAGGTGGTTTTAAAGTTGTGGGTAGTGGGTGTAGTATGAGGACTTATGAAGCAGCTTCCTTTAACTTCCCCTTCAGCTGCCTGGTTTAAAGCTGCATATTCGAGGCAAACTTTACCTTTGTGACTAGATGTCTTTCTCTGTTTGTGTATTACACCTGTTTGATTCATATAGAACTTTTTAACATTCATCCTTCAGTATTATTGATAGGATGTTACTCTCGACAAGTAACCAATCAGATCGTGCTGTGGGGGGGATGTTGCTCTGGAGCAGTGGTGATTGCAGATACAGAGCTTCAGTAGTATGTTTTATTTTACTGGGAATTGGTTCAAAATATTGATAATTAGAAAAATGCTGAATGTCAGGTTAAATTTGTAAGTCCCTCCATTACTTTCCTCGATTGTGATTCAGTGACAGAATACATTTAGTCATTGCTCGGTCCATATACCAACAGGGTTTGTTTATTCCAGCGGTGTGAAGCATCGAGGATACACCTGAGCTACTCGTTGCTCCTCCAGCAGCCTCGTCTTTTCTCGAGATGCATTTTTGAAGTTGAGCCATCCATCAAGGTGGCCCGCCGAGATCTATTTCTGGGAGACGAGGAGGCTGGAAATAGTGTGATGAGATGAGCTTTCTGTGTCATGATCTAAACTCTTTTTCTCTGTTTTGTTGCATCTGTTCAGCTGTTGGAGTCGCTGTGAGACGATGTACTCGAACAGGTCCGAGCACAGCCACAGGCGGCAGTACGGCGACAGAAGCTCCAGGCAGTGGGACGAATACGACGACTGGCAGGAAGAAAGGCGAGAACCTCACCGAGAGACGCCACGGGATTCCTACCATAAATATGGAGGCGATGGACTCGGCAGCACAGAGCGGAGCTGCAGGAGCAGAGAGTTCAGTGACTCTCCTAAGAGGCTCTACAGTAAAGACTCGCTGAACAGAGAGCGCAGCAGAAAGAGCCCAGCGAGGAGACGCATGTCTTCGCCCGTCTGGGATCCCTCTGAAAAGAAGAAGCGACGGTTTGCAGAGAACGATGAAAGCGATTACAGATACAGAGGTGAGCCTCAGGACAAAGGCTACTGGCAGCCGGACAGTTCTTCACGTGCACACGTCGCCAAGAGCTTCAAAGATGCACCGCCGCAGGAAGACGAGTTCAAATACAGGAAGACTCCTCAAGACTCCAGACACAGACATCGGCACGAGGAGTTTCCATACAGACAACTACACAACGAGTTAACCTACAGACGGTCGTCGGGGTGCTACGAAGATAGAGACGCTGATGAACGGAGCCGAGATCGCTCACAGGAGAGGACTCGGTCACAGGATCGCTCCACGAAGGTCAGTCACGGTCTGAGTCAGCGTTCCCAGAAGGCTGGGCGAGACAGCTAGAAGATCAATCACAGCCAGATGCTTTCTATCAATAGTTATTGATCATTTTTAATAGAGATCAACAGAAAAAAAGGTTTATTTGAATTTAACCACCTTCATTTCTATTTTATTTGTCAATGCACAAATAAACAACAATGATAAACACAGACCACTGAGTTTAATTAAAGAGGCTCAACTGTGTTTCTGTGTTTGTGCTCTGAGTATGTTTAGGTACGTTTGTAACTTTTATTAACTGCATTGCAAGTTAGTTGTAAGTCCAGCTAGTGCTAGTTAATAGCATGCAACCACCAAAATAATAATAATAATAATAATAATAATAAATCGCTGATGGAAATGATTTTGATACACATTTATTGATTTATTTTTTTTAAAAAGCAAGTAAAATCAATTTTAAGGTGAACTGACCTCCACAAGAACATCAATGAGATACAACAGATAAACTTAACCTCAACCTTTGGGTTTGTTTATGCAGAAAAGCTTTGTCTTTTTCTTTGTGCTGTCATGGTAGTTTACATCTGATGCATGTAGGTGAAGCTATGAACCACTTTCCTGTCTGTCATTGGTTCAGATTGTTATTGTTTCCTTGCCCAGCCTCGTGTGCGTCGGTCTGAGCAGTGTTTTAGTCTTTGCTTCTACTTCTGTGATTTAACAAAACGTTTGTCTGCGTCAAACAGAACTACACCAAACCCAGAGAGAGGCCAGACAGCCCGTCCACGTCTTCACATCACGAGGATTATCGACAGAACAGAACACGCTTTCTGCTGAATGAATCCAGTAAACAGGTGAGTTGCTTTTTAAGTTGCATCAGAAAAGAAAACAGACGTCTTTATTGGAATTCTTTACAGCTGGACTTTTCCTGCTTCGACCTGCCAACGTGTTTGCTGATTTTAACATTATGTTTCCAATCTGAGGAGGAATAGTCTGTCATGTTGCTGTTACACCAGATCTACGTGTTGCATGTTGTGTTCTCGTAACGTACAGCTTATCTACACTGAGTTCAGTGTAGGTCAAGGTTTGTTCTGTGTAAAGAAAGTTTTGGTGCCAGAGTTTAGAAATGTAACTAATTTTGTTGACTGGAGTTTCATTTACTGGTAGAACAGACATTTTGGTCATTAAATGATGATGTAAAAAATAATCGGAAAATACATCAATTTGTATTTCTATCTATACAAAAGAATTATTAATATTTTTAAATGGAGGGTGTGTGTCTGACATCATTAGGACAACATGTGTTCTTTTACTTTGTGAGAGCAATAGTGGACACTAGAGTTCTGTTCAGCTCTTAATAGGAGATCATCTGTCCAGTCATTACCCTCTGAAGCCCAGGCAGTTTCTGAGTGTTTGTTCCTGTCACTCGTTTACTCACTGCAACATGAAAACCTGCAGCTTTATGGAAACAGAACAAACATGACTCCAAGTAGAGAGAACTCAAAAATGTCTTTTGTGCAGTATGACACAGTAAATGAGAGAAATCATAAAAAACAATAAGAAATTAGGTTGAACTTTTAGATTTTTACCAATTTTTTAAAAGAAAAAACACTTACATTTTCCCAAGTGCCCCCAAATGTTCCCACATTAATATTATGTTGTCGCTTTACATACCAGAGCTCCAGACTGTGACCATTCTGATCGAGGGTGTGCGAATTGAAATTTCAACTGGTTGCATTTGTGCGAGTGACTGATGATCATGAAGCTGTTTTGGTGTCACTGTAACCAGCGCAGGTCTTCTCATGAAATGTGGAGCGCACCTGCATTCACTGTTTTCTATGAGCAGAGCAGCACATGTAGGCGCGCTCCACACTGCACAAAAAAAAATAAGACTGTTTTATCTCGGGTAAATCAGAACGCCCCGGTTTAATGCTGTTCAAAGTATTTCCTGGTCACACACCTGTCTGAGCACCGCAGCCACCAAGCTGCAGCAGCTACCACAGCCTGCTATGTGGGGCGTTTAGGGAACATCTGTAATTTGTAGCGTCTATCTATAAGCAGATTTTCAACCAGTGATGTGTTTTGCCCGTGACAGGGTGGGAGGTGCAACCAAATAAGAAAGTTGGTCGCATCGGTGCTACCAGTGGAAAAACTTAGTCTGGAGCCCTGCATACAATAAATGATTTACTATTTACTTTTTTTGTTTTGTTCCCTTTCTTGTCTACTATTTAATGTGTAAACATCCTGAAAATTCAGCTCAATAGTCCCAGAATCTTTGTCTGTTGGTCGTAGCTGAGCCAGTCAGGACTTCACTGTTGTGCCGAGGATTGAAAAAAAAAATTTTTTTTGCAGTATCTGCTTTTTGCAAATGTTTGGATGCATAAGAGTTGTTTTGATGAAGTGACATGATTTAAGGTTAGATTTGTTGAACAGAACAGCACGTCACAGATGAGGAGTTCCAGGATCATAATAAAGAAGTTTTTCCATTTTCCAGCTCTGATAAATAGTGGAAATGTGCTCATGTATTTGTTTTTCCTCTGTGTTTCTCACTAGTCTTTTGAGAGTGACGTCTCCACCCAGAGTGCTGCTGGTCCTGAGCCGAGGTCAACAAAGGGCTTCCAGCGTTTCCTCGACGTTCTCAACAAGGGCGTGGACGTCGACGTTCTCACCAAGATCGTGACCTCCTCAGAAGTCAAAGATCAACCGCTGTCTCCGACTTCCTTCATGAACTCTGCAGACCGTTCGTGGCGGCAGCAGAACAACTGGAGCGAGCGCGAAGGTTCCCACCGCAGAACAGCTTCTCCACAACCTCGCCACAGGTCCCTCAGTCCACACAGGCCGCCTCCGTCCAACGACAAGCCTCAGCAACAGAGCGACGGCCGGCAACGCTACTTCAGCAGAAGGTCCAGGTCTCCGTCGGTGGCGGAGAAGGTGACACTGACGCCTGAAGATGAGCACAAACGCAGGCAGATGCAGGATGTTCTGCAGGCCATCGGCATGGATTTGGGATTCGAGGAGCTCGGCCAGATGTCCCATCGAATCCAGGAGCGGCTGTACGGGAAGAAGGAAGGCGACAAGGGCCGCAAAGTGAGTAAGGAAGGCAGCACGTGGCGGATGTATTCCCCGAAACGTCGCAGCAGGTCGTCGTCCTCGAGCAGGTCTAGTTTCAGCTCGTTACCTCGAGAGTATCACGCTAGAAAAGACTCGTACAGCGCTCAGAGGGAGGAACCAGAGGCGCAGCAGCTACATCAGGCTGCTGACTACGGCCAGATGATGAGCTCTTTACAGGACAGCGAAAAATGTCAACTCAACCGGGAAAGCTCTGCTGCACTGCAACCGTTTCCTCCGACTTCCACCTATTCTGTGTCGGAGCCTCCAGCTCCCCCCGCGATGCCAACGTATTCCCCCGTCAGCTGTTCCCCGCTGCCATACCCGCCTCTGTCCCCGGCGCTGTCTGCAGCTCTGCCTCCCCTTTTACCCCACGCCGCCCCCGGGGTGTTCCTGCCCCGCCTGCCTCCCTTCATGCCTTACCCCCGCATCCAGCCTCTGAACATCTTCCCGGCCATGCTCGCTCAAACGAGGCAGCTGTACCCGCCGCACATGAACCATCCGCGGCCGCCACTCTTCGGCCTGCCGGATGTCAACACAGTTCAACCTCTGAACACAGCACAGAAGTCAAAGACGCTGTCGAGGCCCCGCTGTTTGCAGGTTATCGAAACCAAGCAGCCGGGATGAAGACAGCGGACATGAGACTTTAAAGCGGACTTCAGGGAGTCTAGTTCAAACCACAAACTACGTATTTGATCATCGCAGCAGAGAACAAGAAACCTGACCAGCAGCAACACAACGAACACGTTAGCCGTGTTTCCATGAAAGTACCGCTTTAGACAAGGTTTGTGGAAAGAGCAGAATACTAAAGATGTGCGTGATTTTGCACAGAGATGTTTTATGCTCACTTGAGTTAGTTTTGAAACCCGTTTTCTGAAGAAGTTGTCGCGAATGTTTAAAAAATGTTTAAAAAGCACGACAGGAAGGAATAATTACAACCGCCCGACTGAATATCACCTTCTAAAGACGTTTCTCGATTTTTCTCTCGTAGTTGGATAAACTTTTGCTGTTTTTCTTCAAGGTTTATGGGGTTTTTTTTGAGCAGTTTGCAAACTACTGTTTCTATTTCTGGCTTCTTCTACTCTGTTTATGCCTTAACGTAGCCTCTAGCGCCACCTGCTGACCACACCATGCAGCCTACTTTATTCTCTCCAAAGCAGGTAATGGAAACAAGCCTGATTCACATTTTGTTTTTCAGATTTTTTTTTTTCCTAATTCGCGTGGAACAAATACATGGAAACACGGCTAACAGTATTTGGTCACATGTTGAGCCTGTAGGTGGCGCTGGAGTTCTAAACAGTGCATAAATCCCAAGAGAAAAACACTGTGCAGAAAGTGTTTTTGTTTTGTTTTTTCAATCTGAAAGCTTTGTCTGCTAAATTTTGTTGGTTAAAAGCAGTATGAAGACAATAATTTCATACGTTAAGATGTTGAAATTCTGTTTGTCCACAGAAGCCTTTAATCCTGGTGAATCAGCAGCACACAGAACTGTGTTCACACTCGAGCTTCTCTGTTTGTCAGGTCGATTCTCTCTCTTCTGTATCCACGCAGAAAACTGTTGTATAAATATTGAACTGCATAATATTAAACACTATAATTCAAAGTACAATCTGAGTTCTTGAATAAGTAGTTAAAAAAAGATATTAGAATATGACCAGTGAGGCTGTTGTAAAACACCACAGACCGGTTTATGAAGTGTTCGCTGTGTCTTACATCTAAGCCCAACAGCTTTTTCTGTGTGTATAGTTTTGACACTCAAAAAAAAATAATTCCTTAAAAAGATGTTGTCTTCTGCCAGCATCCACTGTGTTCGTATGCCGTGTCCTCACTGAGGAAACTGGACTTCACTTTATTTCTGACAGATGCAGGAGTTGTTTTTCAGCCTCTGTCTCACTAACGAACACAAGCATGTGGATTTTTGTGCGATTTTTACCAAAACAAATGACTAAAATAATCCTGTAGCAAAACAGGAGTTGACTAATTGAATATCGGCTCTGTCACAGCTGCACATTGAGGCTCGGCGCCTTCGAAAGTTCCAAAAAGCTGCTGAATTTTACTAATTATTGTAGTTATCAGCTGCTTTTTTTATTAATCAGTTAAGTATTCTGTGTGAAAACAAGTAAATATTATAACGAGGCTTTTGTTAATCCCTAAAGCCAAAGATTATTTTTTGTATTTTTATTTTTTTCTGCTTAAAAACAAGGCGGTTAATCAATTACAAAAATGGCTGCTGGTTAATTTTCTGAGTATAAATAACGGAGGAGGTTAATTGACTGATTGGGAGGAAGAAGAAGACGAGTTGAAAAGCAAAAAGTCATGGCTGACAGCTAATAATAAACCGTTTACAGCAGGGGTGTCCAATCCTGGTCCTCGAGGGCCACAGTCCTGCATGTTTTAGATCAGGGGTGTCCAATCCTGGTCCTCGAGGGCCACAGTCCTGCATGTTTTAGATGTTTCCCTCTTCCAACACACCTGATTCAAATGATCAGGATCGTTATCAGGCTTCTGCAGAGCTTGATGATGAGCTGATGAGCGGAAACATCTAAAACATGCAGGACTGTGGCCCTTGAGGACCAGGATTGGAGACCCCTGGTTTATAGTCTCAGATGCTGAGAAACCGACTCTAATATTAAAGTCCTGCTATGATTCAGCCACTTGATACGTATATTTCTGCAGTTTTCACCGCAGTGAACCTCAGCAGCACATCCAGTGATATGTGGAGAGTTAAAAACATGTTTCCTAATTTAATGCTTTCAACAACAACAACAAAAAAAGTATTGTTTTGGACAAAATGGCAGCTTACAGATGAGTTGAAGTTACTTAAAAGAGAAGGGAAGCAGTAAAATGGGATTGGACAGAGCAGTTGACAAAGAATAAAACAAAATCTGCATAAATGCCTAAAATATTTCTGTTTTTTAAATCAGTCTGAAGGTCAGGTGGTCGCCAACTTTAACCGTTAACATATTTAGTGCTTAAGATCTCTGAATGTTTGCGGTTAACGTGCATTCATTAGATATTATTAAATAAAGGTGAGCAGGAAACACTGAATTAGAAAAAGTAAAAGCACACAAGCAGCAAACTAAAGTATTAAAGTTCTTGTTTTATCTGCCGTCATATTATTAACAGTGAAGCATCAGTTTGAACTACTTTATATTCAGGAGCAGCGGACACATTTAAGGAAAAAATAAGAAACTGTCTTTAAATTTTTACTGAGTATGGAACTGAATGGAAGGAGAGAGTAGAAGAATACATTACAATCGTACTTAAATACAGTATATGAGTATGTGTACTTACAGCCGTCTTCAAATGTATTCATACCCTCCCATTAAAGAAGGAATAAAAACAGCTGCCACTGAAATTGACAAAAGTAATAATAAATAAAAATGTTATGAACATCATGACATTAATTTTTGAATTGTGGTTCAACAGAAATATTTAAAAAAGCAACAAGCAAACAAGCATGATGGGACCCGTAAAATAGTATTTAGTTGAACAACCCTTTGAGCCAATCACTGCCATCAGGTGTTTTCTGTGACTCTCAGTCACACTTCTGCACCTGTTGACAGGTGTTCTGGCCCACTGCTCATCAGCAAAGTGCTCTAATTTGTCTGGGACAGTTTTTTGGTTTTTTTTATTATTCTTTTCAACCACAATTCAAAAGCAACGTATTATTTCACTAAATTAGAATTTAGTAAATTTTTATTTATTATTACTTTTTTTAGTTTTTAGTTATTTGAGTGACTGTTGTGAATTTTGCCTTTTCTTTAATGGAAGGGTGTGAATACATTTGAGGACGACTGTAGCTGCAGTGTCGGTCCTCCGACCAGAGGGGGGCGCTGCTGTCGCTGCCGTTGCAGGGGGCGGCGTCCAGTCTCCAGCAGCGAAGCAGCCGCAGACTGCTCTGCTCTGCAGTTCAGGCTGCTTTAACTGTAAATATTGTCCTTTACTTCTGCTGAAATGTGAGCTTTTTTGGACTCCGCCGTGTCTCGCCGGAGTAGCGCGCGTTCAAATATAACTCGTTTTTACGCGATGTGACAGAAGAAGAGCCGGTTTGAGCAGCAGCAGGAGGTAAACAGTCAGTTAGCTGCCATGCTAGGCGAGCTAAAATCAGGTAGTTTGGCTGTCTGTCGGTCCACAACTTAAACAGTCATGAATATGTAGAAATAGAGAGACACTCAGGTTTGGTTATTAACATGTAAAGAGTCAACATGGAGCCGAACTTCCTGTCTGTGTTGTTCTGTGTTCATTAGCTGCAGGTTTATATTAAATAAGAAGCTAACTGCTGCACTTGGGACTGTAAAAAATGTGATTTATTATTGTTTACCTGTATGTACAGAGCTTAACCAATGTGTTAGACCACCAGCCAGTGTCAGGTTCATGCCACAGCTGCTCTAAATGAACTGCATTGGTCATTTCTGTAATGGTTAATACACCAGTATGTAGAAACTCTTTAACCTAACATGATATATTTATATTAATGCTTAAATATAATTATTGTTGTTATCCATGAATTTTCAAATTCAGTTTTACAAAAAAAAGAAACAAATAGTAAAACATATTATTATTTCTTGATTAAAATGTCAAATTCTAGTTATTTACTTGCATTCCTGAACAGAATAAGTAGTTTTACTGGTTGAATGTGATGCTTGATTAATTTCAGAGAAGCCCAGGGGCTCAGATTTGGGTATAAAAAGGTGAATTCAGCTTGAAATTCCTCATTCCTGTTCAAAATAGTGAAACGTCGAGAGCTGCGTGTGAGTTGAAGCACTTCATGATGCTGGATGGTCTAAAACATTAGACAGGTGGTCTAATAAATTTTTTATATGTACACACTTACTAGTCAGTTTGAAGAGAGGCTGGAGGTGAAACCTGTGTAGATTTAAGCCTCCGTTGTCCCATGGTTGTCCACAGGTTTTTACAGGTTGGTTCAGGCAACAAGATGAACATTTTCATGGTAATTTTCAGCAAACGGCACCATTAACAAATGTCAGCTTTAACCTTGTTTTGAGGTTTAACAAGAGAAAATGCCTCTAGTGTCGTGTGGCCCCGTTAATTTAGGATTGGTCTCATTAATTGCTCTTAAAAATCCTCTGGAGTGTTACACAAAATGTGATTGTCTCTGCTTGTGACTCTTATATTGTATTTGTTGAGTATATTTAGACCTTCTTCATAAACTGCAGGACAATGAACCCCCACGAGTGGAAAGATGCCATTCAAAGACTGCAGAGACACTTCGAGCCAAATCACCAGAGCGCCGTCAGCAACAATGTGGGGAATACCTCAACAAGTAGCAATAACTGGGACGCTTTCTGCGAATACTCAACGCGGTACGGTGCTCTCGAACCGCACGGCAGCAATGTGGGCTGGACGGAGCTCGGTCCTCCCTCTGGTAGCGACTACAGGAGGAGCTCGGAGGTGGAGGAGCTGGACGGAGGAGAGCTGGAGATGAACGAGCAGGACAAAGAGCTGGTGAGAAAGAGGCAGCAGCTCAGAGAGATCGAGGAGCGAATCATACACAAGAAAGCCTCCATCGCCCTGAAAACGGTTGGACAGCTTGAGAATAACACGACAGCGGGTGTTTCCTGCGACGCTGAAACTCTGAGAGATCGGGTGAACGTGATTCTGCAGCAGCGTTGTCCTCTCGGCTTCCTCTCAAAGGTGAGGAGGAGTAGATTGACTTTCAGCCGGCAGAGGTCAAACGCTTTCCAGATAATATTCTGTATTCTCCTCTAATGCTCAGGTCCGGTCACACAAAGACAGAACAAACTCATCTAGCCTGAGCAAAGAGGGTCTGCTACAGCAGCAACATCCCCTGAAGCTCAGAGTGGAGGCGCTGATGACGCAGAGACGTAGTGACGCCTGTATTCAGGCAGCGAACAGAGACAAGGTTTGTGACAGAATTTTTTGACAAACACCATTACACTGATAATAAATCATATCTCTGCCACAGCACAATGACATTTTGTGTGCTTGATTGCACTGTGATAAAACTGAACCAGACGTAGCACATCCGTTGATCACAGTGTGGCCTGTCTGTCCTGCTGCTGACTCTGAATAAGCTGAAGAAAGTAGCTAAAAAAAAGTCAGTGTCGTCCTGGTGCTGCTGCGTCAGCCGGCTAGATCAGATAAAAACACTGTGATTTCTCCTTTAAACCAATCACAAGTGAGCTAAGCTGAGGATTTAGCGGCTGTGTTACTGTGAATACTAACCAGGGAATTGTTTTTGTGCAGGGAGGCGAGAACTGTCATTAAAACGGCTGATTTTCCAATAAAACTCCGGTTGTTCTGCAGGATTCCAATTCCTGTGCAGAACTTGAAATTTTCTGGTGTGGTTGTAGCTTCC